ACTCAGAGATGGTGAACGAGGACTTTTAAAATCAAACGTTTTCACATCATCAAATGTCTAACTCTGAAAACGCGATTATCAGATATCAGTACTAAAGCCTTCGCACGGGCGTGTAGCTGAGTATAATAACTCAATATGCAGTGTCCTGGCGCACATACCTAGTTATTGATTGTCAGAAGTGCAGTTCAAGGTAACTGCTCGCACGTGGAGTCACCCCCGCCCCGCACGCGTATCTGTATCGACTTACTACCTGCAGTTTATTATTAATATTACCTGCAGAAATTGTTTTAATGAGACTAAAGTTTGTATTTTCGTTTGAACTCGAGCTGTCATGCCAGCATCTGGGTATGAGTGAAAGGGATGGATAGATCAGAAACTGCGGCAACCATAATAGGGCGTCGATAAATTGTATTGTCGTTTTTTTATTCAATTGTCTTGTATTTTTAAAGGTGCTCTAAATGGAATAGGCCAGGTGCTATTTGGGCGGGTGCTCAAAGTGAAATACGTTAATTTTACAATCAAGCTTCTCACATCTTCCTAAAAACATTGATTAACCCCGGAAATTAAAAAACCCACCTTCTGGCGCAGTCGGGTAAACAATAATGAACCAAAGCAACATTTATACAGCCCAATAGTATCGGTGTCGGGTTCAAAACAATGAAATTTAACTTACCACAAAGGACAAAGGCCCAGACCAGAACAGACGGTGAAACGCAACTGCAACGAAACTGCAACTTTGTGATGATTCTGATGAATGAAACTGAAAGTTTCAAACTGGTCGCGTCATGTGTGGTCTCTCAACGGACACTATGGCAGAAACTTAGATGCAACTCAAAAGTAACTAGCAGTTGCATTTTCGTTGCAGTTGCGTTTCACCGTCTGTTCTGGGCCTAACGGATTTTTAATAGAAATTACAAATATTCCTTCAAAAAGTAATTATTACAAAAACATATTCCCAACCGATCCACATGACGTCTCCATTCATATCGTGCAATATAGTTAAATACAAAATGCAGTTCCCTCAAGCCTCCCAGATGAACTCTGCTAATAAGGTCAAATCCCCACCTGCGCGACCTTGGGCCAAAGCAGGCTACGCGTCGTCGACCTGTTACGTCACAGTGTAAGGACTNGAGGAATTCGAAGTTAAGGTTCGACTTCCTTCCAGTGCAAAGCAAATGACAGGTGGCAAAATGCGGAAGACAATACATCTAATGTTTGGGCTTGAAGCAGCAAGGAAATTCATGTCTTACATTTCTTACAAGGTATTTTGGTGTCTCCCGACGGAGAATACACATTAAACATAAAAATATCGACCTGACAGTGACCAAAAAGCAAACAATACAAAAAATAAGATTGTCGTGTTGTTCACACGTTATTTTCGTATAGTAATCCATCCGCAATCATCTTCCTTTGATGTACTCGCTAAGACAATTTACACCGTTTTAGGTAATTTCGAGTGATTGATGTATGTTTGTGATACGTCCGAGAAGATGGGCCTCTTTCATTTGCACAAAACGAATAATTACATTACATGCATTAAGTGACATTTCTGGGGGCACGGCAGTGCCCCCACCAAGTCGAGCAAAAAGCGGCACGGCCGTACCATCCTTTTCTCGAAGCAATTCAGGCCATTTTCGACCGCCTGTAACTTCGTTGTGGATAAAACTAGAAGGCTGAATTTTCATTAGCTATGCAGGCATTGTAAAGACACGGTATATTTAAAATTTCATTCAATTTGAACCAGTAGTTTAAGAATTATAACGGGTCAAAGTTACTTAATTTTGTCACTCACTGACTCACTGACTCACTGACTGCGATGGCCAAGTCAATATGTATTTATGTAAAACGTTAAAGATTTCCTGGCCTGGACTTGGTATTACATGGATCTCACAACTTTTTACCGTAGAACAACTGAGTTGCGAGACTTGGTTTTTTTGACAAGTATTGTTTTTGATGGGATCAATTTAACGTATTCGGCAATGGAGCGGGCTAAGCTCGGAGTTTCCCTGCGTGATCGAATCAGAAATGAGGAGATCCGCAGGAAAAACAAAGTGACCGAAATAGCTCGCAGAATTGCTAAAATCAAGTGCCTGTGGGCGGGGCACATAGATCGCAGAGACGATGGCCGTTGGGGCAGAAAAGTTCTCGAGTGGCGACCACGGGCTGGAAGACGTAGCGTGGGCAGGCCTTCTACTAGGTGGACCGTCGATCTGGTAAAGGTTGCGGGAAGAACCTGGATGCGGGCAGCGCAGGACCGTTCATTATGGAAAACCTTGGGGGAGGCTTTTGTCCAGCAGTGGACGTCATTTGGCTGAAACGACGACGGTTTCGTTGCTACTCGTGATTTAAAGCAACGAGTAACACTCAGAGATGGTGAATGAGGACTTTTAAAATCAAACGTTTTCACATCATCAAATGTCTCACTCAGTTGGTTAACTCTGAAAACGCGATTATCAGATATCAGTACTAAAGCCTTTGTACGGGCGTATAGCTGAGTATAATAACTCAATATGCAGTGTCCTGGCGCACCTATAGGTAGCTAGTTATTGATTGTCAGAAGTGCAGTTCAAGGTAACTGCTCGCACGTGGAGTCACCCCCGCCCCGCACGCGTATCTGTATCGACTTACTACCTGCAGTTTATTATGAATATTACCTGCAGAAATTGTTTTAATGAGACTAAAGATCCGTAATTTCATGTTTAATCATTATCTATAATGCCAGCATCTGACTATGAGTGAAGAGGATGGATATATCGCAAATTGCCTGCGACAGACAGAAATGACGGAAACCGTAATAAGTAGGGCTCCGATAAATTGTATTGCCGTTTTTTTTATTCAATTGTCTTGTACATATTTCTAAACGTGCTCAAAGTGGAATACGTTAATTTTACAATCCAACTTCTCACATCTTCCTAAAAACATTGATTAACCCCGGAAATTAAAAAACCCACCTTCTGGCGCAGTCGGGTAAAAACAATACTGAACCAAAGCGACCAGTCCAAATGTATCGGTGTCGGGTTCAAAACACAATTAAATTTAGCTTATACCACAAAGGACTAACGGATTTTTAATACAAATTACTAATATTCCTAAAAAAAACAGGTTCCCAACCGATCCACATGACGTCTCCATTCATATCGTGCAATACAACATGTTAAATACAAAATGCAGTTCCCTCAAGCCTCCCAGATGAACTCCGCTAATAAGGTCAAATCCCCACCTGCGCGACCTTGGGCCAAAGCAGGCTACGCGTCGTCGACCTGTTACGTCACAGTGTAAGGACCCGCGGGGCTTTGACTCGAGTCTCGAGCCCTCCGCCAGACGCGTGGGGTCACATTGGCCCTATCGATTTTGGGCTCTGTCGCTAGGAGGCTGAGGGCCAATTTTTATGTCCCTTTATTAGACCCATCTACTAATATTATAAATGCAAAAGTAACTCTGTCTGTCTGTTTTGCTTTCAAGCCTAAACCACTGAACCGATTTTGATGAAAGGCATAGAGATAGTTTGAGTCCCGGTAAAGGACATAGGATAGTTTTTATCCTGGTTTTTGAAACAGGGACGCGCGCGATAAAGTTTTTCTGTGACACAAAATTCCACGCGGGCGAAGTCGCGGGCGGAAAGCTAGTGCATGTATATCGCTATCAAGTACCAACTAATTTGTACTAAAATTGGTTGTTTTGATCTCTACAATTTGGCTTTTATGCAGCTAAAGAGAATATGGGGGTCACATTGGACCTATCGATTTTGGGCTTTGTCCCTTGGAGGCAGAGGGCCAATTTTTGGGACACTTTATTAGACCCGAGCTTGTTTTGATCTCTACAATTTCACTTTAAATACAATTTGACATATTAAAAAGCAAATAAATATTTCTGATTCTGATTATTTTATACAACTAAAGAGTTCGGAGTGCGAGGAGTCTGCTGGGGTCTCATTGATTTGATTTTGGGCTGGTCTCTAGGAGGCAGAGAGCAATGTTTTTGGGAAACCTTTATTAGATTAGATTTTTGTTGGTAATATCTCTACAATTTGACTTTTATATAGCTAAAGAGTTCCTAATGCGTGAAGTTTTTGGTCTCATTGGTCCTATCGATTTTGGGCGCTCTCTCTAGGAGGCAGAGGGCCATTTTTTGGCCGACAAGACCCTTTAATAGAGTCAAGCTTTAATACCGTACACGACCAAAATATATCATCTATTTTAGACCAAGCTAACGGCTAACGATATGTATGAACTATTTATAACCTTAGAACAAAACTAGCTTGTACTAAACTTGGTTGTATTGACGTCATGAACTAGGCTTTTATATGGCTAAGTTCCGATTGAATTTATTTATAGCCATTTAACAACTATACTTGTATTAAAGGTTCATACTTTTCAACTATTGCCAAGTTTATGACCCTTATTTTCAAAGAAATATTATTACCCTATATTCGTGCAATAATTACCCAAATACCAGCCAATAATCCCAATAACTTCTGAAATTACCGTCTAACTGCCAATTAGTTAAGTTCGTTATTTGGGACGTCGAACAAGGTCAGTAGTTCAGCATGGAACCTGATTATAATGCAAATAACGGAACCAGATCGCGAATACCATGGTAATCGCGGTAATTGTTCCGTTTCGGGGTAATTTGGGAACCTGTTTGTGTATTAACGATGAAGAAATTAAGAGCGATGTCAGTTGAGCACTCCCGAAGGAAATATGAATTATATTAGGGGATGCCTTAACGAAAATTTCCATCATCGGATTAATAAGACTCTATTTACGACTGTAATAAGTCTGTTATTATTTACTCCTTTATTAATTCTTCTTTCCATGTGATCTGTGGGTCTGATGTCAGAGTTAATGATCATACCACAAGAGTCATATGCCTTCATTTATCTATGGCTAGTAGACGTGCCTTCTAGAACACAGAACTATTACTTTTCGAAAAATCAGGAGGTTTCCTTGAAACATACCTGGAAGTGTCCCATAAAATCCCTTCCTAAAAATGAGTTCTGAACAGCGTTGGATATGTTAAAAACACTTACCTAATATGAGGTGAAGCTTAGCGTCAGTCTGGAAGGCATAGTGTAGTGTAACCAGGAATGGGCACGCTCGTACTGCTTCCAGGACCTAAGAAAGAAAAGATTGTTGACTTACTTGTGTAAATTAATAATTATTATGGACTTAAAACACCTCCTTGATTGTTGTCTCATTTGTGAAGATTAATAGTTATGGACTTAAAATACCTCCTTGGGGAACACCTCTCTCTGAGGAGTCTCTACTGTTTGCATTATAGACCGTACCTTTCATGGATGACAGTGCGCTATGGTAGCTTTCTATACAGTTTGAATCCTCGCAGGCAGACTACATACTTTTTTATCGCCCGATAGTTTGATCGGCCGGCTTCTAATTTGTATGACAAATCAGGCAATACTAAATCTGTGTAATGTGCGCATTTTCATGCCAGTTCATACTGATTAACAGCCCGACCAAACTATCAGCCCACAAAAACTCTGTAGTCTGAGGGGAGTTTTTAATAATTATGAGTATATTCTGGTTCTTACCTGTCTTTCTGTCCTAGTGTGTTCCGCTGTCTTTAACTTCTGTACTATTGATGCCTTTTTGAGAACTTTCATTGCGTATAGTTTACCCTCGTCAACACCACATCTTTTTCTTACTAGGAACACTTTGCCGTAAGCTGAAACAAAGAAAAAAGCACTTTAATAATATGATTCACGTGAATTCAAATCCGTTGGAACATTGCGGTGTAATGCACGAAGAGTCGAGTTTAAATTCTGTCTTGTTCGTACATAGAATGAGTGAGTAAGATAGCAGTCTAGTAGACTTTATCCTTATGTAAGATTGAATGCCCCATAAATTCATATCGTCGCCTTCATCTACGCGGATGTGATTAACAGTGTTATATTCACACATAAGCCTGGAGGTTAATTAAATACATATTATACATAGGCTAATACAATGTTGTAAACATGTCGCACACATTGAAGAACATAAGGGATTATCACATAAACAATATTAGGGTAAATTTTGCCATACACCTTAATTGCGTTAATAACAGTTTTATTAAGAACTACAATACCACGAATACTTGGTGGAATTTATTTCTAGTTAGGCGTAACAATAAATACATCGTCATACACGATTCGTGAATAAAAATAAAGTTTCTTTATTTATAAGATAGAGCCATTGTCATCGTAATCTTTCAGCGTTTAGATTAATAACACAATTTAAAGAAGGGATCTTGGAGTAGACAGGTTATATGCTAACAGCTAGTGCTAGAGACAAACGGTTGCCAAATAAATAAGTCCCGAAACAAATTCAAATCTAAATTATCTGCATTGCAGTACTTCATTTCTTCTTCATAGCCAAATAAATTAAAAGTAACCAGACAAGACAAAATAAGATAGCGACTTAAACATTCATACCGGCAAAATCAATGAACTTCTAACAAAAAGATTTTGAATAGAAGTGTATTGAATGAAAACTACCACAATAACCGTGCTGATTTGAAGAAAGGTGCTAAAACACCTTTAAGGCCTTCAGCTTAATTGTTCAAAACGTTTGAAACGGTCTTCATTGTTGTATGTACGCTTTTATGATGGGGAAAAGTAAAAAAAGGCCTAGTTTCCGCAAGCCCGCAACAATATTATGAGAATTCGCCAGGTATATCGAACAATGGGGTAAGGATATAAGAAATTGCTAAACAATTACTGTTCAAAGGACAATGTCCAGAAGTAGCGTAGATAATAAGCTGAGTGAAATTGTAGAGCAGCTAAATTATGGGCTTGATAAACAGCTTCATTATGAATCTTAGTTATTGCGGTATTCTCTGTATGTTTTTGATAGTGCATAGTTCATTATCATCATCATTTCAGCTACAGGACGTCCACTACTGAACATAGGCCTACCTCTATCGCGCAGTTAAAAATTGTAAATTCTTCGACTCGTGTATTATTGTGAGCAATATTTTGTGCTACCTGTCCTTGACGTTATTTCTGTTCGCGGTGTAATATTTGAGTGTTATAATATAGTCAGCTGAGTATATTTTCGACAACAAGTGTTCGTCTGCTGTCAACGAATACCGGAGATGTTTCTCAATACAAATAGCGATAAGGGGCAAAACAAATTTCATAATGGATAATGTTAAAACTAAGCTATCTGTGCCCGTGCCGTGACTTCGTACGCGTGAAAATTGAAAATAGTTTGAATAATATTTCCCGTTTTTGGAAAAAAATTCTTTACTACTCCGTCCCTATTGGCTGTAGGGTGATGATATGCCTAAAGCCTTCCTCGATAAATACAAAATATTTTTTTCAAATCGGACCAGTAGTTCCTAAAATATCGCGTTTAAACAAACAAACTCTTCAGCTTTATAATATTAGTTAGATAGTACTTAAATCTGTTTCAACATCTAAGACTGTCTATCCAAAAATACTTGAAACAAGTTCACTTGATTCCAAATGTCTATGACTTGTGGGACGGGTCATCGGAGGTCGCTCGGTTCACCTAGATACGTCTATTCGGCCAGCCTAGGTTGAATGAACGATGAACTAGACATTCATTTGATAACTAATGAGTTGATTGACGGTGGTAATAAGGATTTAGAAGTCCGGGACTAACTGAGGTTAAATACTACGATCAAAACGCGATATAAACTCAAGCCTGCGATATTAGTCTTGAATTCACAGATTTGAATATGTAGAATGGACTGTAGAGCCGTACGTACTTTAGTGTCATTTTTCAATTAGACTTTTTGGAATTTTGTCTGTCACAGAAAAACTTTATCGCGCGCGTCCCTGTTTCAACAACCGGGATAAAAACTATCCTAGGTCCTTTCCCGGGACTCAAACTATCTCTATGCCAAATTTTATCAAAATCAGTTCAGTGGAAAGCAAGACAGACAGACAGTTACTTTCGCATTTATCTGTACTGAGCTAGTATCTAATGAATGAGGGATAATACGGGTAATAATGAAAGTAGCCCCTCATGGACCCTACAACCGAGGAAGCAGCTGTAACGTAACCCGGTAACCGGATACGTCCGGTGTAACCGGCTCGAGATGAGCACGGTAAGTGGCCACAAAAACCGGTGGATGATCACACGATCACGCACTATTGTTTGACGATCCTATCAATATTGTGGACTATTTATATTTACCTTCCTTTTGGAGAGTTTGTTTGTTTAAGAGTCAGTTTTGGTAGTATTCTGTAACGGGATTGGAACCCTCGTCGGATTATCCTGAAGTGCTCTGTCTGTTATTAATATCATATCTTTGATAGAAGCGACAATAACTATGAAGACACACTGAGTTTTTAGTTTACATTGGATACAATTCTTAGATTTTCCACTATCAAGTATGAACAGATATTTACTTAAGGAGATAAGGAGGATCGCGGAATCGGGAATTAACAAACATTATAAGTTATTGAGTCATAAACATGAAGTAAAAATTATTAACGACACCAAAATTCTCAAAGAATATTTTCGTAATGAATACACGAATGTCTAAAATAAATTGTTCGAAACAATAACTACACAACACGAACAAAGCTACAAACTGTCGTCAAAATTCCCCGAAGCGTGGGTAGCTGTAATATTTTCAAGTGCACCAGACAAACGACCGAGTATTAACCGCTTCAGTTTTTCTATTTCAGTACTGCTGTATCTAATAAACGAATAGAAATAGTGGTCCACAAATAGAGCAAGCACCTTGCGTAACTCCTACTTCACCGTGAAATGCAAAACAAAAGCATGGCTTTTGCAATTTATGGTGGAACGACGACACAATTTTGATGTCAAAATAAACTAGAGAATGGATAAAAGCAAGGTTTCTTGGCGGGAATATAAGCTGATAAATAAGATAACTACTTCAAAATTCCAAATTGCCTAATTGCCTAGGCTATGGTATATACTATGTCTACATATACACCACACTCCCCATGTCTCTCTCTACTAAAGACAATATATTTTCAGACATATCTAACTGTTAATATTTTACATTCTTGAGTAGTAGAGTAGTACTAATATTTTATACTAGCTTTCCGCCCGCGGCTTCGCCCGCGTGGAATTTTGTCTGTCACAGAAAAACTTGATCGCGCGCGTCCCTGTTTCAAAAACCGGGATAAAAACTATCCTATGTTCTTTCCCGGGACTCAAACTATCTCTATGCCAAATTTCATCAAAATCGGTTGCGAGGTTTAAGCGGGAAAGCGTAACAGACAGACAGACAGACAGACAGACAGAGTTACTTTCGCATTTATAATATTAGTTGGGATAAGATAGTTGGGATTCGTTGTAGATAAATTTTTCATAATCATTTCCAACTTTAAAGACACAATCAAACGCTTTGATGAATTCCACTTTTAGTTCTTTAAGATTTACGATTACGAGTATGATTTCTATGCAAATATAAAAACTGAAGTTCACTGATAAAGAATTCATTGAATGCCAACCTTTTCATTAACTCTTGTGGCCGTCAGGTCTGTTACTTTTACATAGGTAGTAGGTACCTTAAAATGAAGCTGAGACAAAATGAATTCTTTTACATGAAGATGTACTGTAACTAAGCCTAGTACCAAAGAAGCAGGGCACAACACTCATACCATACAAATCACATACATTGTAAAGGCTGCACGAAACACTCCAGCGAAATGCAACCGGGAGCGACCTAGAACGGTCAACGATCCCTCGACGAATAACAGTAGAGCCGAAAATACCGAATACCGATTTGCACGGTGATGATGTGATATTGAATTGGTATTACAATATCGATATTAATATAATACAATACCATAATCTGTATAACACTCATGTTATAATTGACGTCCGCTGAATAGGAGGAAATTTTCCACAAACTGTTTTTCTAAAATCGAAATTCTCAATTCAAAATATTCAAACCTTAATGATTGCAAAAGGCAGGTTCTGTCTATTGGTAAGAACACAGAAAATTTTGATACGATAATCTTATTAATCGAACCTTACATACCTTACGAGGATTAAACTGGAAAAGAACCTTTTATAAAAGAAAGGCTCACCACAAGTCGCAATGTTCGAGTATTTTTCCATAACAGAAAAAGTGAAAAACTTGCCCCATTGTTAGAGTACAACTTAGATGAGTAGGAAAAATCCCGGTGAAAACCCCACGATCAAAAAGAAAACGTAGACTGAGAAACCTAAGTTTAAAAAACACGTGTAAACAAATACGCAACAAATCCCAACGTGCGTCTTGCGTTTGACAACGTCGCATCATCGCATGTATGTTTAACTTTACTGTACTATACTGGTACTAGCGTTGTCATAATATGGAACTAGCGATCGACTGTACAACAAACACCTTTGTTTGACTAGTCGACATCATTATTAGACCAAATAGAAAATTTGCTATGAGTCTGTGTATTATTCAAAAATTCCTAGCATCAAGATGATTGTCCACAAAGTTTTAAAAGTCATCACAAGTATCAAAATAGACGAGGACGATGCCAAATAAAATGTAATTGCTTTTATTGCCACTTACACTAACAGAGCTATCAACCTCGCCACTAAAGAAAGAATCAATCAATACTACATTAACTACTTTAATAGCGGAACCGCTAGGGGAACATATTTCTATTACGTCTGATTTTACTTTACACATATCGATGTCAACGTATCCAAAAGGAAAAAACTTGGCCTTTACTG